TGGACGAGTCATCTACAACAAAGGACCCGCCCCGCAGTGCGCTCTTCCTTGAATTATTCGGTCATGCAATACTTATTGAATACAAAGAACAAAATGCATTTCGATCCCGTCTCCGTTCTCAATCATTTCGTGGCTGAACCATCTACGATGGGGGGAGCTAATGCACAGGAAAGAAGTGACGATAAGAGAATACGTTCTCGCATCGCTTTTTTTGTAGAAAGCTCGACCAGCGAGAAAAAGTGTTTGGCCGAAGCCAAAAAGAGGTTGACCCACTTCATTCGCCAAGCGAATGATCTTCGCTTCGCGGGAACAAGAAAAACTACCATCTCGCTCTTTCCTTTCTTCGGTGCTACCTTTTTTTTTCAAAGGGTTCAAAGGATTAGGCTCTGTCAAGAACTTTTGAATGCCCGTAAACAACTCCTAGGTCAATGTTGGAAAAAATGTTGGAACCTCATGGCTAAGGATAAGGTAATGGAATTGATAGAGAAATTCATAGACCTAGGTAGGATAGGAGAATTGATAAAGGGAATAGAGATGATGATAGAGATCATACTGAGAAAGAGAATAATTCCGTACGGGTACAACTCTTATTTGAACGAAGTGAAAAAAATGCGATCTTTGTTGTCTAATAGAACAAAGACTAATACCTTAATTAAATCGGTTAAGATCAAATCTGTTTATCAAAGTGCTTCTCCGATTGCTCAAGACATCTCTTTTCAACTGAGGACCAAAAAAAGATCATTTCGTTCCATTTTTAGTCAAATAGTGAAGAAGATTCCATTAGTAATGAAAAAGGGGGTTACGGGGATCCGTATATGTTGTTCAGGTCGATCAGAAGGTGCAGAAATAGCTAGAACTGAATGCGGAAAGTATGGAAAAAGATCTCGTAATGTTTTTAACCAGAAAATAGATTATGCTCCTGCGGAAGTATCTACTCGTTACGGAATCTTAGGTGTCAAAGTGTGGATTTCATATAGTTGGTTGAAAGACTTCGTTCCTTACTATCATAATCCAAATCTCCCATTACACTGGAAATACTANAAAGTGACCGTGACTGTGACAGTGACCTAAGGACCAACGACGAGCATATCCTAAAAGTGCCAGGAGGAGTCAGTTTTCTTTGAAGATCGAGGGTCGATGTAATTGAGCTCGACTAACGGGAGAGGATCGACAAAGTTGAGTCGACTGTAAAGGAGAGGAAGAGAAGGCGTGCTATATCCAAAACGTACGAAATATAATAAATATCGTAAAGGCAGATGTAGTAGGGGTTGCAAACCGGACGGTACACAACTTGGTTTTGGAAGATATGGAACTCAAAGTTGTAGAGCAGGTCGTCTTTCATATCGAGCCATTGAAGCAGCGCGTCGGGCTATAATCGGACACTTCCATCGTGCTATGAGCGGACAATCCCGAAGAAATGGTAAGATATGGGTAAGAGTTCTCGCGGATATCCCTATTACCGGAAAACCTACAGAAGTCAGAATGGGAAGAGGAAAAGGAAATCCTACGGGTTGGATTGCTCGTGTGTCCACGGGACAAATCCTATTTGAAATGGATGGTGTGAGTTTGTCAAATGCTCGACAAGCCGCTACATTAGCGGCGCATAAACTATGTTCGTCAACCAAGTTTGTTCAGTGGTCGTAAGCTAATTAGTTAGTGGGGGGGCCAGGATGAAAAAGAATTAGGCGAAGTCTTTCTGAACGACGGAAGTGACTACTCGACTTTTGTATACGGGATATTTGAAGATCGACCTTATCTTGCTTATTTAAGCAAAAGGCCGCTTTTTTAAAAGCGGTTGTAGTCTTCTTGATCTATAGGGCGAGGCTCCCCGCAATGGGAGGAAAGGGGAGTGGGTAAGCGGGCCCCTTTCAACTTGACTTTTGAAGAGATCGTTGTAACTTAGTGCAAAAGTGAAATGGTAAGAGAGGTTTAAAGGAACGAGACTTTAGAAGCGAAGTTCAGTCAAAGAGCGTATTCGGAGAGATGTAAATTGACGAGTATCGGAATCGCATAGTGGTATGGGACTTCGTAAGAAGATCCGCGATCTGAAGCTCTGAGTGAAATGTATGGCCATTGACCATGCTTCCTTTTTCGCTCCTTCTTTACTCAATGTAATCGATCCTATGGCACCAACTAATAACTTACTTCACTGCAAGTGCCTTTGGAGATGACTAAGTCTTGCCAAATTGGCCACTGTAATGTCAGGTTCTGTCTTATAGAATTGCTCATGGAACTCGCTTTNNNNCCTTGGACCTAGCTTCCCCGCACTGGACCGAGAACCGAGCTATATGCTCAACAGTCTACTTGACTTCTTCTCCTCACAAAAAAGAGAACAAACTAAGGCACCTTATACCCCCGAAACTGATGAACTCGGTCGATCCAATCAGGGTATGGTTTCCTAGACGTCGGCCTCATTAATTGCCTGACATCAATTCCAAGCTCAATGTAATCTTCCCTCTCCTCTCCTGGCAACGTCTTTGACTGAACTTCGCTTTGCGTAGAAGATCAACAATCAACTGAGCTCAGACAAATTCCTGAATGTGCTCTCCCGTAGGTCAACTTCTGACAGATCAAAGTGGCCTTTCCGACCAACTCATATGGTAGTGGGGACAAGGATGGATTGGAGTGAAAGTGGCACAAGTCGTAGCCAAATCCTAATTGACATGGAATTCTCTAAACAGTCGTAAGTCCGACAATTGGTCTTTAGCCTTTCGGAATCGAAGGGGCTATAGGGTTTCCTTCGTACATGGAGGCCTTCTTCTTACAACAGACGGTTCGATCAAAGAGTGCAGCTGGCTAAGCCGCATCTTCTGCTTTAGCTTTAGCGGGAGTGCTTGAAAGTGACTGTCTTCACTTAGTCCAAAGAGAGCGAGAAATCGTCTTCCGTCACTAGCCATTGCTCGTCATGCTATCGTCTCGAAGAGTCAGAGTCATATGCCATCTTCATTACTAGCTCTGACGACTAGTCTTATGCTAATGAAATACCTGCAAACAACCCAAAGAACGAAGCGAAGTGAAGGAAAAAACCAAAGTACGAGGGAAGAGGTAATTGACGACCATAGTGCTAGTTTTTAGTCATATAGTGTTAGTCCTACTTTGATCTTTATTATTTATGTTACATCTCATGAAATTCCTTTTCTAACCCGGTCAGTCTAATGAGCTTTTATGAAGATCTAGCTTTCCTTTTATAGGTTTTCTAGCCAGGTTCCTTCAAGTGATAAGAGATTTCAGGCTTGTATAGGGAATCAATGAGGCTAGGTTACACTAGCAAGGAAAAAAAATGGATAGACTTTTCACATTCTACGTCATTATTTTGACAATAAGATTCAGTGACGCGCATTGAAATCAAAAAGTCAAGCTTACTTGCGAGTAGGAATCGACGACAGAGGGTAGAACAAGTACCTGCTTCCGCTCCTGCATTCACACTAGCTGGCCCGTTCGTTCGCCTGTTCGTACTTGCTGACTGGTTCGCACTAGCAGTTCGCTGGGGAGTTTTCTTTAGACAGAAAGGTTGCACCGGATAGATACACCAGAGGGTACAGTCTTCGCTTCGGAGGTTCTACCAAAGGGAATATCCTTAGACCAGCCTCAACTTCGTCGATCCTATTCATTCTTTGCTATTCCTTTCTCTCGAGCAAGACCAGGCTCGATGAAATTGACGACCTTTGGGTACAAACAAAGCGAAGCGAAGTGAAGTCATAGAATCCTTCTACTGCTTGTCTCTACCTCCTCCTCCTCTACCTACTCCTTAGGAAGATAGTTAGACAAAAGGTTATTTATACGCTCGACCAAAGATAGAGGAACGAAGACTTCAAGCCCACTACGCGGTTCGATGCAATTGACGCTACCGACGCTGCTAAGGCTTAACTCCTGTATAGGGCTTCCCTTTCTGTTCTTACAATACCTACTGGCCCGTTAACAGTAAAAGAAATCCCTCGATATTTATCAGGCAAGAAAGCAATCACATCAGGCGCTTTTAAGCCCAAGTTTCTCTAACGGAAAGAGCTCTTGTCCGCCGCCAGAGGCTCTTCCATCGCTTGATAGAAGGGAATTCAAGCTGTTATGCTTCCATGTTCCAAAACCTATCAATAGGTACTAGCGCACTAATCTTACAGAGATCTTTAGTTTTTGTCCTGGGGAAAGTAAGGTTTTGATAACAAGCTTCTCGGAACCAGATCGATACCTGGTCAATGTAACCAGGACNTAATTGAGGGAATAGTAGTTGACAGGTGAATGGCAGCGATGAATGACGCTTTCCTCATGAAACTTGGTTGGGCTTTGATGAATGATCCAGATAGTTTCAGGAGAACGTGCCCTTTCATTACGTACGTAAGAAAGAACCTTTGACTCGACGCGACGTAATGTAATAAAAAGCAACCCTCAGCCTCCCACCCTCGCTCAAAGCTCCTTTATAGTATAGTAAGGGCTCGCGCCTCTGCCTTTTCGCACTATCTCACCTTTCTCAGCTCCCTTGCCTTTGCTTTCAATCTGTCTTTTTCCACTCCAGCTTTCACTCAAGCCATTCTTTGAACTTACAACATAGGGGGGACTTTCACTCTTCCTCTCGCTTCCTAACCTCTCGCCCTGCTCAAAGCAAAGAAAGGCTTGAACATAAAAAACTTTATGCAGAACTTGTACAAGCGAATATCTATGTGAATCTGATCAACAAAGAAATGGAGAAGACCAGACAAGAGTTGGATCGGGGCAAGGTGACTGTTCAGAAACTGCAAAAAAGATTCACTCTATCTCCGTCCAGAAAGAACGAGCCGAAGCCGCCGCTCAAGCAAGCATTTAACTCTCGAAATCTAATACTAATAAGAGAAGAAGTGAGAAATCGAGAACTAGGGCTGCGCCAAGAGTGGACAAGGGAGTGTCCCAGACAAGTATAGGATTATAGAATGTGTCCCAGGGCTCCGCCGCGTTGTAGCACTTCGGAGCCCAGACTGGCCTCCGGAGACACTGTTATGTGACAAAAGAAGGGGTTTACGAAAGTGGATCCCAGGGTGGAGACGCCGATGTCGTTACTGAATCTGGTCCCATCTTTGACGATCGAAGAATGGCTGGAGAAAGACTTCGGTCTTTTCCCTCGTCAATTGGGGAAAGCCTAAACCCCACCCTACCCGAATTACTATCTCATATCCGGCCTTTATATTAACTTCAATAGACTCCTTTCAAGGTAGCATTCGTTGCTAACGGGCGCATCCTACTTTATCTGATTTGCAATCCCTGTACTCTACCTAGACAGTCTTCCTTCCCGCGTACTTTTATTTTAAGGGGCGAAGGCGTCTAAGAGGACATTCTTACCGCTTTTAGGCGCCTAAAACAAGCGGTCGATTACCGCTCTCGGCGGCCCGGCCTCCCTCTTTAGCTACAAGTCCCTAGTCCGGTCTACTGTCTACTACTTTATTTTTCCGTAGTTTGATATTCTCGTAAGTGAACACAGAAAGTAGTGGCGGGTATTGGAAAAAGCACTGACTGGCTTAGTCTCGCTTCCCTAGATAGAAGGAAAGGGCTACGCTATACTCTGAAGCAAGGCTGGCTTGCGGTTGAAAAACACACACGCCGAGGGTAGCACACATCTTATGAAGCGACGGTCAGGTCTCTGTCTCACTCAGTAGGCACACTGCTTCAGAAAGAAAAGAAGGTACGTACGTCGACTCTATCGTTCGAGTAAGCATAAGCAGCTCGAGCCTCTTTCGTTGACCTGTACGATTCAGAGGGAGGCGATTCTAGTTGATGGAGTCTAATTTGCTGCAGTGGCCTTTCTTTCTACTCAAGAGTAGGAGATCGATTCCACTACTCGATCGACGGAATGGGATAAAAGGAGTCCAAGTAGTGGCCCTATAATCCACGCACATATGAAGCGTGCCATCATGCTTCTTTTGAAAACAGCGCCGGTGCCCCGTATGGAGACAGCCTCCCTTAAAGGAATGTCTATATGGGGTCACCACTCTTATCAGTAGAAGACAGAGTGGGAAGCAGCGGAACATGAAGCCAATCGATAAAGAAAGGTGTAGTCCGTCCTTTCTTTGTCTTTTCCGATGGGAATGAAAGAAGGGCAGCTTTATCAGACTCCTAAGAGGCCACCAGAGACGGAGATATAGACCAGGATCTATCAGCCGCTTGGTGACGCGGGGCGGATCGGTCAAGAAATAGGAAAAAGGGCGCTGCCTCATCTTCTGACTGGCCAACGGTCCAGACTCTGACTCTGAACTGGCGCGGGAGAGGGGGCACTTGGGGAATCTTTCGATCAGCCCCCCTCAATTCAATGAGAAAATAGATGATTCTCGTTCAAACTCGTGTGAGAAATTTGTCGAAAGACCTCCTCCTTTTGCTCGAGCAACTACACCAGCCCGTCGCACCAAAAGCAGAGGGCTGGGCTCACCTTCTCTCACCTTTGAAAGATTGGCTTCAGGGTGGGGATCACATTGGCCATTCGCGCTTAAGTTGCTTTCGTCCGATCTTCCTCTCCCGTTGTTGTTCCCGGGGCTGGCTCGATGGACTAGATCACTGGTCACCATAACCCCGGACCCATGCTTCCCGTCTATGACTGGAAATTGTCCGCAACCGATTATCCGATCTCTTCCGACCAGGAAGGAAATGGAGAAAAGCTAATCTTCCAAGGAATGGCTTGTGCAGAAAAAGTAGAAATATCATATAAGATTCGAAGGGAACGAACGAAGCGAAGCGAAGTGAAGTCATAGAAGTCGAGAAAAAAGAGATAAGGATCTAACTCTCGTTACTGCGCTTTAACGACAGCGTAGTGGCGGTTTTAAAGATAGGTCTTGTCCCAACTTTAGAAGCGAAGTGAAGTCATAGAACTCGAGAGGTGAGTGCCTTATGAAACCACCGCAATACATTGGTTTTTCTTCCCACTTCAAATTTTCTTTTCTCTTCGCGGGAACATCGTTGGGAGCTAGATTCCTAGTTCTCACAGGGAGGAGTTTTTTTCTTTGTCTCAAACACTGTGGTTTAAGCCTGATAATGGAACGGCCCGCCTGGCCACTATGAATGAATATTACGTCAATAGAGAAAGTCGTTCTTCCCGTTGTGCCCTTAACACGAAGCTAGGGCAGCGATGCGAACGCTTGTGAGTGCATTAAGTAAGTCAGATACTAGCTGGTATGAAGCAGGTCAATTGTGTAGGATCGAGCCCGGGCCTTGGAAGCCATCCATTCTCCCAGTCCTGCAGGTTTGGTTTTTTTTCGGAGTTTACAAATCCATATCATATGGATTTCAAGCTTCCTAGTCTGGCTTTCTTTGAAACATGAGAGCATGAGCGAGCTCAGTCTTTCGCTACTCGTGTGACCCTGCGTCATGGCTTGTTGAAGGGCCTAAAGTGCATGATGATTCGATTTCCTAAATATATATGAGATATATAATATATAAGGGCCTCCTCTTTTTTTCTTATCATATAATAGAATAGATCACGCCTGCAGGAACCGATAACCATCAATTTCAGAAGCGGGAAGGCTACTATATTATCTTTTTTAGTCCCAAGCTGTTGACCAAAAGGGAAGGGAAGGAGCAAGTGTAGGCTCGAAAGCCGTAACGCGCTAGCGCGCTTGTAGTTTTCTCGCCGGGTTCATCAGTGGATGATGAAGAAAGTACTGAACGGGGCATGGTAGGCTTCCATCGATGGCGTATAGAATAACATAGAGTAGAGTGAAAGGTTCCACCCCGAAAAACCAGGGAAGGACAGTTTTCACATGCCACAGTTAGGACTTGCAAGTACGAGACTGACTCTTCACTTTCTCAAAATTGACTAAGTAAGTAAAGTGACGGCTTGGGTGACCGTTAACTTGAAGCGGGCGAGCTTACTAAGTGTTGGCCCAACGAACGAAGCGAAGCGAAGTGAAGTCTGTAAACTCGTGCAGGCAGGGGTTCGCTTTAACACTATACAAAGACCACTACGAACGAAGGACCAAGGAGGATGAAGGAGATGGTGAGCTCGTTTTGGAAGAATGTAATCCCCGGGGTATTCTTTCGATGAGTAGGTCTTTAGAAACTCATTTTTGAGTGAGACCGGTTAATGGGGAGAGAGACTATGGGATGTGTATTTTTGTCCCTATGGATTGTGGATTAAGCCATCCCTTCGTGGAGCACAAAGAAGATTGATTGATAATAGTTGCAAATAGATGAATTCAAGGGCGACGAGACCAAGGAGCGGCTTCAAAGCCCGATGCAATTCAAATTCTTAGTCATTCGCTCCCAAAATAGGGAACTTCCCCTTTTATCCTTAAGCACTATAGTAAACTCTCTTCAAGCAAGAAAAGGGATGAAAGCAAGAAAGGCAAGTTAAAGACTTGGGGACTTTACTACGCTTGGACTCTTCTTGTCTTGTTTACTAGCCTCGTAAATCTCCAATATCTGCCCAGTTCGGGAAGCGATAAGTTTTTGCTCTTGTCTGATGAATGACAAGCGCTAGTTGGTCGTTAGAAAGTCCCTCTAATAGGACGAGGTTCGATATAATTGACCTCTCCTCTCAGTCCACTAGCAATACACCAGTACAGTAAGTCAGTACAGCACTAGCACAGATGCTTTGAATAGCCCTAGTCAACGAGCTAGGTAATGCTAATGAAAAAGCAATAGCTTCCTTCCGGAGTATGCAATCCCGGAAAGGCAAAGACGAAAGCATATATAAAGGACCGTTTGTCAACTACTCCTCCCAGCTTTTGGCCTTGAGTAGTTGTTCTCCTAAGTTAGTTGTCCTAACCTGACCGAATCCTTCAGAAGAACAGTAAGATGGTACAGGAGAACCGAATCTCTACGGCTACGGATAGCTTTCGTTCAGTCTTTAATTTGAATGAGATAGATTGTTTCATATTCAAACTAGTCATTGAAGTTACACAAACTCGGAACCAGAAAAGGAGAGCGAAGTGAGTCTAGACCAAACTTTAGAAGCGAAGCGCAGTCATAAAAAAGTAGAGAAGTGGGAGATTGATTCGTTTAAGTAGTTAAGGCCATTAGCCTTTACTTTAAAAAGTTGGAATCGCTAGTAATCGCGGATCAGCATGCCAGCTTTGCAGCTATTTCGGAGTGGCTCCTAAGAATAAGAAAGAGTAAAGAAGTACTTTGTTCGAATCAACGTGTGTCACGAATAAGATTGGTTCTCTTTTGATCTTCCTATTTGGTCCCCATTTCATAAAGAGAAAATTGCCCTATTACACTCGTAACTCATGGTCAGGTAAGCGCTTATGCTGCTTGACGCAACTACCACTGGAAAGCATCAAAGAAGCAAGAGTTCCACTCGCTTATTCACCGAATTCCCTGACTAAGCCAACTACTTACTAAACTCAAGTCTGTTGGTAGGTTGGGTTCCCTTCAAAAAGGGGCTTCGTAGCTGACACCAAGCACATAGCTAAGCTGGCGGGAAAAGGCGAACAGAGACCTAAAATATAGACAGAGACTAGGAGGATCTCGTATCAAGGCGGTCTGTATGGAAAAAACCAAGGGGAAGCCGGGGATAAACAATAAACATCTTATATATGAGAGGCTAATCAATGGAGAGTGTAATCTGCGGGAAGAAGCGTAAGAAAAGGGTCGATGTAATTGAGGAGCCGGAGAGACAAAAGTGAATAAATTAGCTTTCAAATAGGCGCTGTAAATCAATTCAAATAGATAGGGGACGAACCAGCAGCAAGCCCTTTCTCGCCCTTTCGTCTGTCCTAGGCGAAGGCAGTGCAGGTGAAACCCCAATAGATCAAATTTCTTTTATCGCTCCACATAGCTCACGACCCGGCACGAATCAATCTCTTAGATGGGCGGATGCGAGGATCTATCAACGGAGCAATTCCATTCAAGTCGTAGCCGTGTCTGACCCCCTCAATCTTTCTTTCCGGAGTGAGTCAGGCGGCAAAGCCTTTAATCCTGATAAAAGAAAGAGCACCCTCCAAGTATCCATAAATTGAATCGGTTTGAGTGAATTACTTACCGTAGTCAACGCCAATAGGGAAAGTCAGGTCAAGAGAGAGTCTCTTTCTGATACTAGTCTTACCTTGTTCTTGAGTTTCCACGGCTCTTTCCCATCGAAGTCCTTGTTGGGCAGGTGCTATTCGAGCGGATTCAACTTCGAGCTGATGTCACACTCGAGTACTTCGTACCGATCCCATCTAGGTGTGTTGATTGATAGGGGCAAAGGAAAGGGACAGCATACAGTCAATTTCCTGCCCATACCTCTTCTCTTCGGCGCATCAGCATCTATTGTTGAAGCATAATCTGTTGGCCTTCAGTTTCATCTGTTTTAGTTTCCGGGACCGCGTAATAGAACGCGTTATGTGACGAAAAATTGGATAGTTGGAGATTCTTGCGGGTTCATCAAAGCTGCTTATGTGAGCAAAGAACGGCTAGCCCCTATTTCGAAAGGGCACTCCAACACCTGGAGGAAAGAATCTGTTATGGAGTTACAAACAAGAGTCGACAAAGTTGAGGCTCGACTATAAAGGTACAAACGAAGCGAAGCGAAGCGCAGTGAAGTCCCGGAGAGGGAAGGTTACATTGAGGTTAATTACATCAAGCCTTGACGTGGTGGAAGTCATCAGTTCGAGCCTGATTATCCCTAAACCCCCATGTGAGTTTTTCTATTTTGATTTGCTCCCCCCGCCGTGATTCAATGAGAATGTATAATAGGCTCGTGGGATTGACGTGAGGGGGCAGGGATGGCTATATTTCTGGGAGCGAACTCCGGGCGAATATGAAGCGCATGGATCCAAGTTATGCCTTCGAATGAAAGACAATGGAGAAGTAGCTTTGTCTACGAACAAGGAAGCTATAAGTAATGCAACTATGAATCTCATGGTTAATTACATCAAGCCTGGCTCAGGATGAACGCTGGCGGCATGCTTAACACATGCAAGTCGGACGGGAAGTGGTGTTTCCAGTGGCGGGCGGGTGAGTAACGCGTAAGAACCTTAGCCACTGGAAAGACGAAATATGGGGATCCCTTCACCGATTCTTCCTTGACCGAAGTATGCTACAACCCCCACTTCGAACTATAGCCGGGCATAGGAAATCTATGACGTATCGGATTTTCTATCTATAGTCTTATCTACTTCGAAAGCCTTAGCAAAGACTGCCTTACCTTATAGGCGCTATGTTAATAGCCCTTATCTCTTCCTCTCTTCCTTTGTCTTTCCTTTCAATTAGTCTTATCTAAACAGGGATATTTGAAGTCGTAACTCCTTTTTGACCTAAGCCTCAATGTAACCAGGACTTCACTTCGCTTCGAAAAGTTTGTACGGGAGAAACCAGAATGACATATATAATGAGAAGACGAAAGAGAGAAATTGAAAAAGTGTCGTTTTATATATCTGTGAAAGTTAGCAATCCAAATCAATTTCCGTTGGAAGTGCATTAGTGTTTGCCGGGGATTCGAACCTTGTCTAACTCGATGTGGTTGTTCACTCACTCGCGGTTCGGTGATCTCGGTTCGCGGATCCTTTAGCGGCTTTTTCGTAGCCACGGATAGGGCACCCTAGGTTGATTAATGGCAGATATACTAATATAAAGGGTAAAGTCAAGATGCGCTCAATCCGTTGCTTCTTGCTCCAACTTAGGAGTAGGATAGAGCCTTTTTCTGCAGGCTGCTATGCTAGTTGTAGCGCGTTAGCGCTTTACTACCAAGAAATCTTGCAAGATGGGTTGGTTGGCTTTAGCATTGGGGGGAGTTGGTTCACCAGTAAGAGATCAACGAAAAGCAAGCCTTCTTCCCAGTTTGAACGAAAAGAAAGTAGTGGAAAACGAGACCAATGAGTGCTTCATCCTAGGCCTTCTAGTTTCACCTTTATACGGCAGCCTTGACGCATCGAGTTCACTCATCCACAATCAGTTCTTTTTTCCACCCGGACACGTAACTGGGTATACCGCCCCAAGCTTTAGCGCTGGACCACCAGGTTCGATGTAGAAAGCAGAGGAGTTGGCTCAAGACATCTTACCCACACCTCCGGTGCTGGTAAGGTCGGGACCAATGAATAGGCAAGAAGCCAGTCCTACTAAGCCAATCTACGGCGAAGAGACAAGACTCAAAGTTTAGGCGGATATCAGCATACAATTACAGTCCTGGCGGCGGCTTAGCTCAATTTACGAAGCTTTAGGGAAGCGAGTCCCAAGTGGTTCTTCTGATTGTTCTAAAGTCTTAGACTTTGAATCGCTCACTTAATTTGACTTCGCTTTGCTTCGTTCGTTGGGTCTTAGAAGTTGAGTCTTTGTGAAAAAGAGGAAACTTTTGAGCCGAATTCGAGGTATCCAGAAGTCCAGTAGTTATGGGTTCTCTCAATTCTTGACGGACTTAGAGAAAGATCTTGTTCAGGAATATCAATCGATCCTTGCTCAGGAGGAGATTCTCTGGCATCAAAAATATCTCTTGCGGGTATTGCGAAGAGAGTTAGGTAAGTATATGAGCTAATTTCAGTCTAATAGCTTCTAGTGACTCCTCTTTCTTTTAATAATACAGGATATATGCACTGGGGGCGAGTCTTATAGGCAAGCTATCCATCCTTTTTTTTATTCAGCCCTACGCCATTATATGGATAGAATGCTGCCGTAAGCGGAGTTAGGTTTTCAGTCCCTCCGTTCGAAAGTTTTAAACGAATAAAAAAAAAAGAGATCAGCTCCTCCTCCCTTCGACGCTTGTGCAAGCCCTACGTCCCCATAAATTGACTTTGGAAAACCAGTGCTATAAGTATTGGATTGGACTAGGCTGGTTCTAGTTCCACACTGGAGCGAAAGAAAACGGGTACTTTAACTACTCCATCTGTACCATAAATGCCCGGACTATTCGCCTTACTAAAACGCCTTAACGGCGCCTTACGTTCCCTTCTCCCGCCTAGCAACCCAGCTCCCCATACCCTTCGGCTCCTAAATAAGGCATAGGCATAGATCACCCTTCCAAATGAGAACGTAAAAAAACCATCTTGAAAATGCGGGTGCTAATAAAAACGCACACTTTAGGGATAGGTCAATTACATCGAGCCTTCCTCTCGGGTTAGGAGAACAAAAATCGACTGCCTCCACAAACTCATCCTTGAAAAGGAACTACGCCGGGGACACTTCGATGTCCTGGAATGACTGAGCTGATTTGTCACCTTTTGCTTTCGATGGTTTTTTTTCCACTTCCTTGACCATCATTCTGGTCAGGAACTGACTAACTAAAGAAGGAAAAACCAGAGTCAGACAAGGCGCGTTTACGCCGTCCAATCTGATCTAAGCGTTTACTCGCCTCCACAGGCAACTGAAGAAAAAGAATCGCAGCAAGCCGCTACTAAGGAAAGAGGGCAAACTCACAAAGAGGCTACCGAAAGGGTCCTACTTCAAGCAAGGGCTTGACTGGGAAGAAAGAGTATAGCGGGGCTGACGAGCATATCCTAAAATAAGGTAGGCTTTCCGAATGTAGCTTCCTTTCGCATTGACTCCATCGAAAGAAAGAACCAGTCAGAGAGTCAACATAGCCAAGTGATGTTTTCAGGTGGTGGTTCAATCGGACGAAAACAGTTAGAGTAGTCCTTAGTGCTGTCTACCTTCCCCGAAAGGCTAATAGGAAGCTGAAAGCGATCCCAACGGTGTAGTTTTCACTAGGGGTTGGTGATCGGGGCACAAAGGATTCACTATGTTATGTTGGTGTTAGTTTCTCCACAGCACCCGTCCGGGCATTACATTCATCCATTGTCCCTACTTCTATGACTTCACTTCGCTTCGCTTCGTTCGTTCCTCCAGGTCATATTCTAAGCTATGCTTACATCTTCTTCACCGATGTTCGTAGGATTACAGACGACCCTTTTTTATGACCCGCCTTGACCAGGTACCTGAACGATGTCTTGATGAAATATCCCAGCTAAGGGTTTTGCGCCGCCGCTAGTAGTAGAGGAGTGTTGAAAGAGCTAGGTGGTGCCATATTATAGGCTCGGATATATCAAAGAATATTTAAGTGACATAGACCTTTATTGGTTCCCAAATTGACGGGTTAGTGCGAGCTTATCCGGCACTCCCCGAATAAGAATCCATTATTTTGGTACGATTAATAGTGCAGGATTGAATTGACAACCCCGTTAGTTCTTAGTTGTCCGATCCTTCTCTCGCTAATGATCTCTCCCCTGGGGCTAAAGACACTCGTTGAGTGTCAATACTTGAGTTCAATGACGAAGATGATACGATAGCTCAGTGCTTAGCGGAGGACTTGGAATAGTCTCCGTCATCGCTATTCATAGCACACCAAGGTGAAACTCTAACCACTCTGATGGGAAGCAAGGCATGTGAATGAAACTCTCCTAGCTGTAGCTGTTCTCTTCCCTTCCAAAGATGCGCTTTCTCTCGCTTAATTCAATAGGGTACAAACTTTTCGAAGCGAAGTTCAGTCATAAAGCCCTCCAATCTTATCTTGAGCTTCCAAGATTGCGTTAAAATCGCCCAGCAGTAACCAAGGACCTGTAGTATCATCTGCAACACAAGAGAGGTTATCCTCTAGTTTGGGCCGAAGCGCAGACCTTGGGCTGCCATAAACCGCTGTCATGAAGATAGATTGGTTATTATTGAAAGTAACCTGAAAGTGTACGAATTGCCAATCGTTTTTCAGGATTTTCACTGTTACATTAGAGTTCCAAAGTCTCAAAATTCCCCCGGAAAACCCCACCGCTTCAACACGATGGGAGTTTTTCATACCAATACTCCGGATAGCATCTTCTGCTTTTACGCCACTAGCCTTAGTCTCGAACAAGCATGCAATTGAGACTTTTTTTTATACAGTCAGTCTAATATGAGATTGGAGGGTTTTAATCAAAGTGTTATCGGCTGCTCCCAAACTCTCCTCTCCTTTTAGTCGAGCATATGTTATAACCTCTCCTTTCAGTCTTCGATTCGGCCTGAAGGGAATGCTGGTATAAGAACCCCGCATGGCAGTTCGGAATTCCTCTGGCTGTCTTCCATTCGTTCATTTCTTTCGTAGAGCGGGGGGATAGGTCTTCCGTGTGGAGAACCATTTCCATAGCACTTAGTCGTAGAAGTTTCAATTCACCCCTCAACCATTCAACAGAAGCAATAGCAAAGAAAGCAGCAAGAGTGGAGAGAACAAGCTCTTCAAGCTCAGCTTCGGCAACTCGAGAAAGCAATTCAGTTTGTGAGGAACCTTTATATACGTCGCCATTTGACGATCTGTCTGTTCAGGCAGGTGACAAGGAATTTAGTACGGAATCAGAGAAGGGGGACAGCAACGTCAAAGAAAGAGTGATAAGAGTTGAAACCTCTCAGACATCCACCAAGCCATTAAGCCAGTGTAGAACATGGGCTGCTGGACAGAGTGCTTCCCGATGAGATCCTTTGAGACTGAATGCTTTGAGTTGGGTTTCTTTCAAAAGACAGATCGGGAAATAGCTAAATTAACCCTAAACTTGCTTTCGTTTTTGCTTAATGGTATATAGGTGAACCTGAACCAGGTCGAATCTTTTCTCTTCCTGACCCAACGAACGAAGCGAAGCGAAGTTCAGTCATAGAACTCTACGTTTAAGCTTGCTCCTTGAAACGACTTTCGTAGCAATCGATTTATCTAGTGCATGATCATCGCTTTAGCTATTGAACTGGACCCTGCCTCTAAAGCTGAATATGAGCTTTCTTTCTATTCGAAACTAGCTCTGTCGGCTGCCCCGATCAGGAAGGCTCTTTCACATCGTCTAATCTTTTCAAATGTTTGGAAACAATTCTTAGGTACCGATTCAGGAAAGCAAATCAAACGACTACTTACTCCCTATGGTCGCCTAGCCCTGGGACTTTTGATCTACAGTCTTACCTGTAGCTACCCGCAAGCTAAACATTGATTGTTCTATGAGCTTCTACACTCCCAAAGACAGTAATCGATNTTACATTGACCTCTCCTTTCTTTATGACTGAACTTCGCTTCGCTTCGCCAATACTTCTGACTTCACTTCGCTTCGCTTCGTTCGTTGGGTTTTCTTTTCGAAGACTTAGGGGGCCGATCTGGCACGTCCGTTGAGATGTGTTTGAAGGAAGAAAACGAGCATAGCCAAACCGCACCAAATGTCCAGATACGGAGTGGGCTTTTAGTCATGAAGATTTGAGGAATGAGTAGTGGTTATGTAGTCCTTTAAGAGGTCAGATGCGGAGCAGGCCAGAGATGAAGATACCGGAGATGAGGAGGAGTCTCGACCAACCCTTGACCCTAACCCTCGGGGAGAGGTAATTGACCTGAGGCAAGGTGCGTTCTGAAATAACTGAGTTAAGTACCGATCAAAAGAAGCATTATCCATAAGCAGCAGCTGGGAAGAGATTTATATGAGCACCGATTGAAACGAAAATCAATATCAACGATCGCCTCAAAACGAACCACCAAAAGAAAGGCCTGAATATGCGTTTTACTTGCGAAAGGCCTCGGCTACTACAATGACAGGGCCAAGAAATCGGGCCGGAATAGCAGCTCTTTCGAAGAAAGACGCTCCTGTTTCAGTGACAAGATCATGATTAGACTCTTGCGGAGGTGATCGAGTGGAGGAAGGTTCAAACAACAGATCGGAAACTTTACTCGCAAGAGAAAGGCCTTAGCTACGACAATTCCAAATAGTATACCTGATTTTAAGCTTTTTACAGAGGAAACGCCCTGGTTAAGCCAGTTTTGAGGGCATTAACGAGCGAAGTGCCAATATTACACCACTTGTCTTTTCAAGAATTAGACCGGATTATTAGCTTTTTACGAATGAGATGCCTCACTTAAACCTGGCTTTTCGATTGGTGAACTATCGTATAAGAGATGCCTATAGGCTGGCTCAATATTCAATTCAATCTATTCTGTTTCAAAGCTTGACTTGACTCTCTTTCTCCTCTTCTCTTCGTTCGTGTGCTACGTCCATTCCAGTTCTTTGTTCACAACACAACCAAGGATTTGCCCTCCCCGCGCACCTACCTTTCTCATGCCACAGAAAGATCACTCCTCATCCGTTCTCTTATATGCGATACCGCCAAAAGAAAAAAAATGACTCATTCTGGAGACGGACCCTCAGTACACTCTAAACTAAGAACGAAGAAGAGATTGAACAAAGACTGACTTCTTTATAATAATAATTAATTAGAATAGTCCGTTCGAGTGACTCACTTCATAAAGTGGGGACTTTGTGGCAAGCCCGAGGAAAGTATGGCCTTATAGGCTTTTCACAGCTAAAGCTGTCTCGGGTGTCGGCCTGTGAGCCGAAGATCTCTGTCTCGTCAACCATTCGTCTTCCTAACCTGGAGGTTGGCTTGAGAAAGCTCGCCCAAGAGAAGGGAAAGAGATAAAAGGCAGTCGTCCAATGGATTTGTCAGATGGGGCGCCGTGCGCCATTCAACATCAAACTCATGATTCATGTACTGCAATTCTATGTTCATAATAATCTTTCGCCCTGAAAGCCTTCCAAGGAAGGAAGGGCTTGGCTGTCCACTTAGCACGAGCTAGTAAAAAGGGGTCCTAATGACTGAAATTCACTACAGAAAAGGAAGGGGGCATACTGACCTCCTTGCTTTTGCAGCTTTCTCAATTGTTGATTCGGATTCGGTTTTTCTTCCTCTGGGGTGAACTGCTCTCCCGGAGCTAATTTGAAATCTCGATTCGTTATGATCTTTGCGCGTAAGGGCTTCATTCGTATTCAAGAAATGATCATCTCAGATTGAATCAGCCGAAAGGCAAGGGAGTGGACTATACTCTCTAGTTAGGAATAGGGCTCAAGATCTTACTTCTCTTCCCCCTTCTGACTGAAAAAAGCTTCGAAAAGTTTGTACACTTCGCTTCGTTTGTTTGGTCGAGCTACTTCGTGCCTCCTAGTGGGTGCAAATTCACATCTGCTGAATGCATGAGCTGTACCACAAGCTTTGCATCCACTTCGCATATCACATCCTCTCAATTACATCGACCCTCCACGCCACCATCAATCCCAGCCTAACAGCCTGCAGTTCTGCAACTATGCTTGAGCAAACCCCCAGATGAGATCTGAACCCAATGAGACACCTACCTGTGCTGTCCCTTATCACACCCCCAGCCTCTGCAATTCCGGGATTCCCCTGCGAAGCGACATCCGTATTTAGCTTCACAAAAGGTGTAATTGACCTCACATCAGAGCTTTGCTCTTGACGCCTTCCACACTCTGACTTCAATGATGGGCTCCGTACTCCTAAGCTCCAACGAACAAGAGTTCTCCGCCTTACTATACTATATATTTATCATAGAATAGGCGGCGAAACCGCCACAACATATATCTTGTTCCGTGCTATTGAGAGATAGGAAAAAGGTTCGAAGAAAAAGAAAGGATGCTAAATGGTATGGTAAAATAAACCCTTGTAGGACCACCGAGGCTGGAACCAAGTCAAATAAAGAAAAATGAAGAATTAAAGCTACATGCTACTGAGGTCAAATCCTGAGTTCAAAAGGCGATGGCGCTTGCCGTAGAAAGAGATTAGACCGGTTTGGTACTCCAACTACCAATGAGAAAAAGTTTGAAAGACAAATCCGTGAGTCTAGTCATGCTGCTTCAAAAGAATCCTCTGGGTCTTTTCTTCCTATCTGGTTCTCTTACACCGGTGAAATCCTATGTTCATAAGCACACTTAGCCTTTCAATAATATCCAACCAATACTTAAAGAATAGACATAATTAACTACACTTACTAGTCGTTGGGCTTTTGCACCAGGCAAGGAGTCATTATGAATACTCATGTAACATTCGACTCGCCCTATTGCGTAGCTATAACACTACACAGGGGGGGCGTCCAAGATGCTAACTTTGGAATCTTAGTCACTGAGGGGTTAACCTAACCAAAAGGAACTAAGACGACGTAAACATAATCATAGATCACTGCTTATTATGTCGCGTCTAGACACAGCTAAACAACACTCCATTCGGAGGCGCTCAGCGTGCGCGGGAGAGCAATCTCCCCACCCTCACTCAGTATCACTGAAATACTGAATGGTGCCTAAAAGAAAAAAAGGGACAAGGTGACGATACAAACTTTTCGAAGCGAAGTGAAGTCATAGAGCTTAGCCTTCCTTTCTCTCCCGCTCCGTGGGGTCGAGCTTACTCAAATTCAATTGTTTCGAAAATTTTGGAGTCGTAAGCCATGGACGCATTGCTTCCTACTCCTTCGCTTCGTAAACTACAAAGTCATTTCTTCCACAAAGCCCTGTTAAGGGGATTGAAGTTCTTCCTTTCTTTGATTTGGTGCTTGCTTGCAAAAGGGGGCTTCTCCTCAAGCTCGACCACCTTGGCCCTAACCAAACGAAGCGAAGCGCAGTGCTGACAGGAGTCCATTACTGGTACTTTATTTCGCTATCAGAGGCTCACTCTGAATCCATAGTGTGATCCTTCTCTTAATGGTAGAACAAAAATCAAAATAACAAAGGTTTATCACTCTATCTGTGACGCATGGGATGACTCTTCTTTTTTTGACAATTCTTTCGGAAACTATCGAGAAGGACATCCATTCAAACCACTTTTGGCAAAGTGAGACTGACGCCGCCTGCCAAAAGGAGAGATGAAATTGACGACTGTTTCAAGGTTTGCTTATGAACTAGCCCTCAGACAACCCAAAGAACGAAGCGAAGCGCCTCTGTAGAAGAGCGTCGTTTATGACTGCAATCCCGGGCGATGGGCAGGACGTGGATTTTTGGTATGGTAAAGCGATTTTCTCAACAAAGAGTTCTGACCTTTATCCCCAACCCACAACGATTGATTCTGGGCTTCAAGGGAATCCGGTTGAACCCAACGAACGAAGCGAAGCGAAGCGAAGTGAAGGAAAGGTTATAACTTGGAATTTCAAAAAGAGCTTTGGCAGCTCAATGATTTCCCTTCTGAGATGGACATTTCCTTCGTACCTTATCTCCCGCCCACCCATGGTCCAACTGCCACCAAGCCCTATCCTGGAATCTCAATCATCGAATAAAACTTCTCACCCCTAATTTGTCCCATTGTCAGCTCAGTCGAGAATTTTCTTATATGAATCCTCTTCGTCTGGAGCGCGCGTGGAAGTTCTGAATTAATCTATTATCTTAAGGGGGATGAACGACTTGCAGAAAGAATACATGAACTTGAATTACGGGGAGGGGGTCTAGAGTCATCAAAGAGTGACGGATGAAGGCTTTGGTAGGAGATCGGTATCGGATCCTTGAATCCAGACCCATGCTTCCTTCGTTAACTATGACATCAGGAAATGGGATCGAAAGAATTGGTCGGGGTGCGGGCTTACTCGAATCGGGCACACTTCTTTTATCATTCGAAAAAGCACTCAACAAGGAAGAGAATGAGCTCAAATCTGAGGTGTACCAAACCCACTTTATAGCGTTGTGGGGTGTGAGCTTGAATGTGCGTTGGGAGCTTCGATCTTAGGACTAACTGAAGCCTTCCTCCTTCTGATCTTGGGCAACCCGAATGACTCTTTCTTTTGATTCAGTATCGATCTTTGGGGAGAACAAGCATAAAGACTTCCCTCTCCACTAAGGAGAATGATGAAGAAGTACATGAAGTACTTACTCGAAATGGCATTCTTGATTTCCTTTCGTTCTTGGATTTCTTGATTTTGAAGATTAGTAAGGCGGATTAGATTGCCGACTTTGAACCTCTTGCCAAGTTCCATAGTGGCAAGTGCGGTCTGCTAGCGGATATCCGAAGTAGGCGGGCAGCCAAGGAAGGACCCGGCCGAAAGGCGTCGTTGGGCGGCGAACAAGCGTGGTCGCGAAGCAACGAAGAGGACGTTTACGCTGAGTAGCGTAGCGAACTTCCGTGTAGCAGGCGAAGGAGACGAAGTAGCGGAAGGATGATTCCTTTTGTATTTCACTCTAACGGCGTACCTGGATATACGCGAGTAGGAAGACTTTCTAAGTAAACCAGTGAAAAAGAATGAAGCTATTCATGAGATCACCAACACAGTTAACCGTCTTCCTCCGATTGTTAGTAATATGGGATTACCAATACAGAAAGCAGTACCATCTTTACCATCTCGAGGATGACGAGGGCGTTAAGCTTGCCGAAAGGCGAACTGGCAATACCGCTTCGGAGTCCGATAGGATCATTGGAGCTGAGCAAGGTTAGCGACGAAGAGGACCCACCAAAGAAGACTCGAGCGCCTATTCCACCAATAACATCAATAAATTGAGAAATGAATAAATAACAAAGGGATCCAATAGGCTTTTCCTTACGCTCCCAAACCAACATCTGGTGGGTCCGGCAATCCGGTATACACAGTTTCGAGTGATAGTATCCGTCCTTTTAGCGCTTTGGTGTGACTCTTTTCTTTACACATACCAGGGGAGCAAAGTGAGACTCAAAGAACGAAGCGAAGCGAAGTGACGTCATAGAAGTTGGGAGAGGAGAGGCGAAGTTGAGGCGGCGAGGAAATTCGCAGACGTGGCGAAAGAATGGAACTTTACAGTGTTTGGAAATATCTTTCAACTACAGAAAAGGCTGCTAGCACCTATAGGGGGTATCCAACGTAGCAGGCAATTTGACTTTAAGGAACGACTTGTGACGTTAGAGCAACAATTGTGTGAGGAATTGGACGATGTCATTCTCCAAGAGGAACTACTTCTTCTCCAGAAATCTACAAGGGATTGGATGCACTTGGGGGATAGAAAGACTTCATACTATCATCGGCAACTTAAATTCCATCGAAGACGTGGAAGAATTACGGAATTAGAGGATGCCGACGGTAACCTTGTAACGGATCAGGATTCCCTTCGGAATTTAGCAACGGATTTTTTGAAAAAAATTTTGACGGGAGAGCCGGCCCCTGTAACAGTTGGAAATATGCCTAATCCCAGGTTGTGATGTGGAGCTGTTGCAGGCCATGGAGGAGGATATTTCGGACGGAGAAAGATTTTCGGCCCTGCAAAGTATGGGATCCTTAAAAGCCCCAGGAGTAGACGGCAACAATGCATTGTTCTTCAAGAAGAACTGGTCAATTACATCGAACCTCGGTGCGTGCTTTCATACGCAAAATGTGGCGAGACGGTGACGTTCCAAGCGAAGTGAATCAAACTTTAATTATCTTAATCCCGTCGATCGAAAATGCTTCCACACTTAGGCATTTTCGACCTATCAGCTTGCTCAACGTCATCTACAAACTCTTCACAAAAATTTTGGTGAATCGAATGAAAGGTACCCTGCCTGGCTTGATCAATCCAGCACAAGCAAGCTTTGTCCCGGGTCGTCAGATTATCGACAATATTGTAGTAGCGCAAGAACTGATCCACTCTATGCGCCGTAAACAAGGAGCGACGGGCCATATGGTTATTAAAGTTGATCTCGAGAAGGCTTATGACTACCTTAGGTGGGACTTCATTGAAGAAACCTTGAGGTTTGAAGATACTCGACCATACAAACGAAGCGAAGCGCAGTGAAGTCAAAAATAAGGGATAGAGCCTTGACTCATGGAATAGAAGACTTGCATGGTTTGGATGTTTCCGAGGATAGCCTCTTCTCAGACTTTTCTTCTTCCTGGATGCGGGCAAAACAAACCGTTCACTCCACCCTGCGAGCATTCGTTTAGTTAGAGCCTCTAAATAGACGATGTCCTTATACGTAGACGTTCTTCATGCCTTCCTTCATAGCACTCTTTCAATAGTCTACATGAGATAAAGGAGAAATATCATAAGATAAAAAAGATGATTCTGCTGACTCTTCTTTTTTTGTAGCATCGAGAAAGCATGGGACCAATGAGCCCGCTACTCTGACTTCGAAATGGGGTCTGTGGGCCCTTCTCAAAGATGGTACTTAAACTTTCTCAGGTGGATCTGAGTTCATCGTTAGCTGTGAGGGGGCGAAATTCCTTTGGAGGGCATCAGACGCGCTTTAGAATCTGACTACAGTAGTCTTCCCATTGGGAATCTTTACCCTAGTCGGATATGCTTTGTCACAGCCAAAGGAAGCTCTAAATCACTGCACTGGAATGTGAGTCTGAGACTACTACCTCAGCGAAAGATGTTCTATCAGTTCAATCTGTGAGAGTGGAAGGACTGAATCCATTATCATGGATTGGAAAAAGGATGATGAAGAGAAAAAGAAAATCTTGGAATGTGAGGTCAATGTAATCGAACGAAGCGAAGTGAAGGTTATAACATATGCTACCAATCAATTTCTACCTCTTATTATAGTGTGTGCTTCCGGAGGGGCGCGCATGCAAGAAGGATCTGAAAGAGATGCAAATGGCTAAAATAGCCTCTGCCTTATTTTATTATCAATCAAATAAAACGTTATTGTATGTATCAATCCTTACATCGCCTACTACTGGCGGGGTAACGGCTAGTTTTGGTATGTTGGGAGATATCATTATTGCCGAACCAAATTCCTACATTGCATTTGCGGGTAAAAGAGTAATTGAACAAAGATTGAACCAAACAGTCCCTGAAGGTTCACAAGTGGCTGAATATTTATTCGAGAAGGGTTTATTCGACCTAATTGTACCACGTAAGCTTTTAAAAAACGTTCTGGGCGAGTTATTTAAGCTGCACGCCCTCCTTCCTTTGAATTCCAATTCAATCAAGTAGAGTGCACCAAGTTCAATTATTTTATTGGGGGCGGATCTATATCCCTAATGTATATAGGGATCCTATGAAGAGTATGTTATTATTTTAGATCTAACCAATTTGATGAATTACTCCTAAAGGTTCCCATCAAACTAGTGCTAGTTCATGAAAGTTCCTTCAGATACTTAATACGCGGGTTAGGATCAATCTAAACCCGCCTAAAGAGTATCTGATTCAACATGCCAACTATTAAACAACTTCTTAGAAATACAAGACAGCCAATTCGAAATGTCAGGAAATCCCCGCTCGTAAATAAGCCTAGTCTTCGGCCTTAGACAGAAGAAATAGCGTAGGTAATCACAAGAAAGCACAGCACATAGTAGAGGAGAGCAAAGTGAGACTCAACAAACGAAGCGAAGCGAAGTGAAGTCATAGAAGTCGACCCTCAGTCTTGTTTTTTGCTAGCTTGAGTCTAGAACTATACTATCTCATTAAAGGCCTCATATCCATATATATAATTTTCTTTATGGAAGATAGTTGGCCCACTTCTAGCCGTTCAAGCGATTATGCCTGCTCTAGCCCTACCATCTACCCCTATCATAATAGAAAGAAAGGGGTACTTTCGAGCTGATCTGTAACGGATCAAAGCGACCGACCGTTAGTCGTTCTGATCTGTGATTGTTGGTCAAGGCGACCGAGAGGAGCGACGCGAAAGGAGCCTCCATATTCCTTAAATGGGCAAGACTCGGCATGCGAAAAGTCAAAAAGTTTACTGAACAACTACAACTAATTAGAATCAAAAAAAGCTGGAAGAAATACACCTATACAATCGGGAAGTCCCGGGTGAACGGGTGTATTCGTGATAGTACGATCCTGAACTACGTCCATCCTGTAGGAAAGGAATGAGCGTCACAGGTGTGTATTTGCCGGAACTACATACGGGTCAGCAACTTTAGGAAAGTAGGCAACACAGGCAAGGAAGGAAGAGCAGTAGGATCTATCGGCTAACTTCTAACTCCGAACCAGCCAGTTAGTAGGAACCAGTAAGACGGAAGGAAAGGGAAAAAGCATTAGGCCGGCAGAACGATAAAAGAATGAAGAACTGGTAGCCAGTGTGGGCTTGCTTCGCATAGGCTACACAAGCCAGGGTTGGACCAACTAAAGGATCCGCCGACGCCTCCCATAGTACAACCTATGTTTTTTCAGAGGCCAGTCAAAGAGAATATATGAGAAGGGGTCTTCAAGCCTAGCTATTAGATATTGGAAAAGAGATTCTTTGATGTCCACTCGGTCCTATTTTTTCGTTTAAACAATTGTTTATCCTGACCCGCCGATTGCCCAGATATTTAATAAAAGCTGGGACTCGCCCTGCTTATGATGAGATTACTCGACTGGACAGCGAGTTGAGGTCTTCCTAATGGGCCGGGAACAACCAAGAAGCGAGCGGGGGTATGCAGTGTGACTTATTACACTCAATCTAAAAGCGAAAAGAATGGATGCCTGAGATCTTTTATTTCAGTTGGAAATCGGACTATACTAAAAAAGGCTCCCTACGGTACAAACTTTTCGAAGCGAAATGAAGTCATAGAAGTCTTTGTTAACCAAAAAAAAAGTAGAGATTTTTTATGGGACTTTAATCTTTCCTGGCAGGGAGTTGGCCAGAAGAATGTCTTTATTAAATACATGTCCGAGTGAGATAGGCTCGATATAATTGACCAGCCATTTTCTTGCTTGGTTGCATATGGGCCTCGAAAGGTTCGTAATGAAACCCTTCACAGGAATCTTTCGTATTTCAATTTTCTTTTATTTCTATGCTTTTGTTTTCTCCCACCTTTATAGAAGGCAGATTTGAGTCGCCCCTCCATATATGTGCAACTCTTAGGGTCGCCTTTGGCTTGCTTGCTTACCCGGCTCACTCGAACAGTGAGAAGAACTCCAGCTTGGCTCACTTCGCCTACGCAACGAAGAGAAGTAGTTTACTTGCTTGCTTAGCTCGAACATGCCAACAGCATTTCGTTCACTTACGCAACATTCACTCGTTTACTTATTAGCTAGCCCTATTCCACACCTTTGCTTTCAGGGAATCTAAATTGTAGAAGGTAGTAAGTGGTGTGCTCGTTAGAGCATGCTTTTTTAGATAGCTAAGCGACTACCTTAGTGGAAGGTGGGAGAGCAGCAATGAGTGCTGAAAAATATCTTATCCTCCCCCTACGCCCTAAGAAGGAAAAACGGAGCAAGATAGCCCAGAGAGAAAAAGAAAAGAATAGCTTTTCTTCAGCTATTCACTAGCCAAAGAGAAAGCACTAATAATGATTGCTAGCAGATGTTATGAAAGAAGGGATAGATAGGGAAGGATTGTTGACTATACGAGAATTCCTCTTCTTCCTTAGCACAAGTATGTACTAAGCTCTGAAAACCTCCATTCCAACCAGGTTTTCAGGAATAAGCACTGCAAGAAGATACCCCCTGCAGTTACCTCTAAAAGGAATGATCTCGGGCATCAATCTAAAGAGAGTTTGGTAGCTTTCCCTTTACACGGTAAATTTCCTTATCTTATTAAAGGAAAAGGACGAACTCGCTTTCGCTGGGCATCAAGGCTTCTTTCACTCCGCTACGCACCTTGAGCCTGGTTAAGAAAGGAAAGCGAGAGATCCAAAGAGCGAGCTCCTTCGGATCCACTATTATCTTCCAAGGGCCAAGTCGGTAGTCTTTTCCAATTCCTGATAGGCTGCCTGTGAACATGCTGACTCCGAAGTCCGCTTCTAAAACACGAGAAAAGATCACAGCGGCAAGACCTAAGAGAAAGGAACAATTAAATTATCGAGCTCAAGCCTTCTTCTTTATCTTCCATCTGGGGTATAGGAAAAGCGAACTCCTAAAGCAAAGGGAAAAGCAAGCAGTTGATAAGAGACCTCCCATTCATTTCTCATGAAAGATAGGCACATGGATTCTTTAGCGAGAAGGGCATCAGAAGTCAGTTCCAGGCGAGTCAAAATAAGGTCCTTTCCCCCGCTCAAGCTATCCCGCGCATCCGATTATATCAAAGCAAAAAGACTGACCGCTAACTACTACTGTAACTACTATAGCGGATGTCTCTTCCCTTCGGATTCTTTCCTTCGCTTTTGGGTCGCAACCTAAGCCAATGGCTAGTGAAGTGAATCGTTCATTCGCCGACTAGAGAGCATGCCACTATGCTTGCCACATTCAATTTCTTTCTTTGGCACTGCAGCTGCACTTTAGTTAGTCACTTGGCTAAGGCCCCTCGCTCTGGGTGACCCCCCTGGAGAGCTAACTGTAAATAAGAAAGAATCACTTATTTGCACTGCTAACTCTTCGTTCCGAGTCGTCAAGAGCAAGAAGAGTTTCGGAAAGAAATCCCATGGGATAGGTGGATTGGTTAGCTCATTCATATTAGACCTTTTGATTCTCTCCTTNGGGAACCAAAAAAGGCGGATTTGAGTCGCCCTGAACGCTAAAGCCATGAAGTGAAGTTGAAAAAAGGGAATGTAAATGCCAAGGAATCCTTTCTGCTTTCTTACTCTATCCTTTTAAAATAGCACCAGGTGCCCTCATTGATCTCTGCTGAAATGAAAAGAATTCCAGGTACTTGAACTTAAACTTAAATAGATGACGCACGCTTACTTGCTGGCAGGGGCTAGCTTTCTATCACCCAAGAAAAAAGGGTTTGCTCGTTGCCTCATTGGCTGGCTAATAGGCAGACTTGATAGCGGGTTCGTCAGCTCTCTATGACTTCACTTCGCTTCTAAAGTTGGGTTCTCACTTGATTACGGATACAATGCAGGTTACAGGGTGAGCCGGTAAAAGGAAGGGTTTGCGGGTTAGCTTATGGAAGGTAGGGCGCGAGCGTAGGCTTACTATCACTATTCTATCCCCACCTTAGACTATCATTCCTTCCTTACGAGATATCCCTGGGGACTTTAACAAAATAGAACCTGGGATTGACTGACGAAAACTCTAGGGACTTCCTTCAAATAGAGAACCACGGTCGAAGAGTCTATCTTTCTCTTTTCTCGCCCTTATAATTCAATATCCTATGGGACTGACTTATACAGCGCTGGGGAAAGCTTAGCCGGTTAGATTACGTCAACCTTCCTTATTCACTAGCTTACTTGATAGAGGCTCTGTCAAGAGCAAAAGGGACTTATTCGCGCCAGCGACGAGCTGACTCTCAAGACCTTGCTCTTACCTTACTCCTAGCCTTTGAAAGTTTACTTATCCCATAACCTTCCTGACTCACTACTTGCTTACCGCTCCGTGGGCTTCTAGCTCTATAACCTTTCGCGCTCTCCTCAACTTCTAAGACCCAACGAACGAAGCAAAGTTCAGTCATAGAAGTCGTCAATTGAATCGAGCCTCGTATAGCTACTTTTAGCTACTTAGCAGTATCAGAAAAAAGGGGGTCTAACCTGGGGAATGCCTAAATCCAGTATAGACTAAACAACCTAGCGGGGACAAATGACGTAAAGGAATAGGATCGACGAAGTTGAGGCAAAGGTTGCAAAGTCTTTATCAATTACATCGACCCTCGGAAAGGTCTAACTGCCGAGACTACGGATTAGCCTGTATGTTAACCGGAAGTCAGAGTCCAGCGAAAGTCCTAGTTTTTACTGGCCGGCTTTCTTCAAGTTCATTCTTTAAATCGTATGATCGGAAGTCCCGCTCACTCCTTTCCTATCTAATCATAACTTCTTCGAGACGGATGAGACGGAAGAAGACATAGAATCCAAGCATGGGAAAGGGAAAGCTACCTCTTTTTCAGTTACCGGGTGGGCACATCATCCATCCCCAGCCTTTCAGGAGGCCATCTACGGAATCGTCTTCCAAAATGACATTGAAATCGACATCTGCTACAACAAGATGGAAATGTTGAATAGAGTAGAGTGCATTATTCTCCTTTTGGTTGAATGCATATGGTATCGATAGCATAGGCAAGAGTGGTGGCTAGATGACGTTTAGGCTTCACACGCTGAGGCATAACAACACCCGTCGTACCCTACCCTCCGTTGCTGTGCGCTGTCTGAGATCGGTCGCTGGCTTATCAGCTTTCTTTTTTGACAAGATAGATCGCTAATCGGGTTTTCTTTCAATCACCTTTAGGCGAAGAGGATTATTAAGAGGTAGATAGGCGAGGGTCGATGTAATTGAGGTAAGAGGAAGTTGGTCCTCTAAGCTGATTGTTTAAGGGTGAAAGACTTGTTGTCTTCCTAGCGGTAAATATCTTAACTCATTTTAGTTAGAAGTGGCTATCTCCGGTAAGGGGAACACACAAAGCATTGAAAGAAGAACCTTAGAAATATGATTAAAAAGGAGGGAGTGATCCTTAAGAGAGAGTGGTTAGGACGCACTTGAGTGAGACAGAGGATCGTTACATTTCGTGTGTCTCTTGGTTGATATAACTCACCGGCTCCTTACGGTCAAACTGTCTATTGAACCGATAGGCGAAGAGGACGACGGTCACTAGTATCTTCGTATGAGAAAGAAAGCTATTCACCTTTCCTCGGCCGGTGATTCCTTCTTTGACTCTCAAGAATTGATTGAGTCACTTGATCAGTCGTCTCTACAAGATCAACACAGCAACTACAGCAAGCATTTGACGTCAATCCTTAAGACGGACTGAGTATATTCAATTTCCCTTTTTCCAAGTTACATAGGAAGAAACGGATCCTTTCAGGCACATGCAACCTCCCCACCCCTGGGCATGGATCGATCGCTTCAGAAGTGCTCACGCTCCCTCAACGCATAGAAGGCATTCACTTTCTTGTAGTGGAGATAGTATGTTGGAGAGTAGTTCTATTCTGTAGCGAACAGCTTCTATGACTTCACTTCGCTTCGAAAAGTTTGTTTGGTCGAGTATCTTCAAACCTGCGGCATTATCACAGCTACTGAACAAGGGGCATTCTTTCTGCTCTAGCAGTATTCGATTCCTCCACTGCGTAACAAAGACAAAAGATTCGTCCTACGCTTACTAAGAAGCCTAACTATCTGACAGGGCTATTATTCTAAAATAAGTCACACCCTTAATAATGAGCGTACCGGGACTTCCATTCAGTTCCCTTTGCTGTAGGTGCAGGCGCAGACGAGCGACTAGCTTAGGAGGTAATAGCCGAAACGAGCAACTAGGTCTCATAGGCGGGAATAGGGTCTAACCCAAGCGCAGGAAGAAAGGAATATGGAAGTCAAGCCCTTTTTTTTCTCCAGTCTCAAGGGGGTAGGGCTACCCATTTCTTTACTTTAAATATCTTTCCCTTATGGCATCTAGAACCATTCCAGGCATTTCTGCTTCCCTTGGTTCTCTTTCTGCTGCCTTGCCAGGTTCAGTTTGAGTGGAAGTTGGAGTCTTGAAAGCAAGCAAAAGAACAATCGCTTGAGTTGAGAAGTCCATAGGCAGCCTGTAATAGAATAGTAGCTAGGGGCCTTTCAGTTTTCCCACTACCTTCTGTATCCATAGCCAGTTTCCTGTGATACAGAGTTCGTTGCCAGGCCAGTGACACCATTAAAAAGCAGGAGAAATAGGCAAGAAAATTAGTTTGAATGAACTTCGCTCTCTTTTTTGCTAAGCCAGTACCAGGGCCTTCACCAGCCTCTCCAATTGCAGCAGTCATAAGGTAAAGACTTCTATAAAAAAGGGTTGCCCTGCCAGCGAGTGTAGTAGTAGTTCCTCCAGTTTAGTCTAATCTAATAGGGATGGGGCGGCTATAGACTGACGATAATACATTTTTTTCTCTTTCCTTTCAATCCTTGAAAGCATTCCCTTTACAGCAATGTTAAGCTAAACAGTTACAATTTCAGTCGGTTGGTTTATTGTACAGCACGCTCCTGGAGTTGCATTGGAAAGCTAAGCTCATGGAGCAGAAAAGAGTTAGTTCCCTGACATCATCTAGAGAGAGGGCCAGCTCCCAGACATCCAATCGCAGTTGGAGAGATTTTTATCTTAAGGGAAAGGATAGATCTTTTATTGCCTAGCTTGTTGGAGTGGGAAGCGCATCTCGCATCTAAAGTACACGTGCGATATTGAATACCTCTTGCTTGACGCATAGCATGGTAAATAAGTCCTCGTTCTTGGGACTTGCAAAAGGACTGTGTTCGTCATCCCCCTCTGCTTCGACTTCAAATGTGAGAGTAGAATCGGTTGTGCTAGAATCAGCTCTAACCGTAGCAGCTCAACTCCTATCTGCTCTTGGTCAACTAACCGGTGGTGGAGGAAGAGAAGTCAAGTCGTTCTTGGTGTGCATGACCCGGAGATGTCTAGCCAATCAGAGGAGTTGTTGCACAGCGTCCGGGGGCTTCCACGCCAGGAAAGAGAAGAACTCTTAAGTGGCAAAGAAAGTTCTTCCCAAAGACGAGCGCCTTCTAAAGGGATATGGTCTCTATCGTCTGGTCTTGCTTTTCGTCTTAAAGAGTATCCTGGTTGCCGGGTCCCTGTTAGCTACTTGCTTTCCACTGTCATTGGACTAGGCTTCCCGGATCCCCTTTCTTCGGTGCTGACAAAGAACTAGACGGTCAAGAAATTTCCCCCACTCAATCAATATCCATCAGCTGACGACTTTTTCAATGGGGATTGTTTTCTTTCCCATGAGGCTTTCTTTCTTACTGGAGAAAGGAATGTTACGTACGCTTTCGAAGGCTCTATGAAGAGAATCTTGCAGATCTTTTTTCCAGGGCCGGTTGGAGATCTTTGTCTCAATTCTGATTCGATTTCTCCTGATTCAGCGGATTCGGCTTCGTTCTTTGAATCTCACTTTGCTCTCCTTACTATCGGTTATCTGTCCTAAAGGCGGCGTTCGTCAGCGTCTTGACTTCAATCCTTGTACAAATACACCTATTCTCTATTAAAGGGGCGCTCTTTTACCTGGCAATAAGGTGGTGCGGTAAGAAGGTCCGAGGCATGGATGTCGTGTTCAACCAGATTCGGGAATCATTACCATGAATGGCGTATCACTCATTGGATAAGGTCCTATTTTGCATCCTCCCCAGAGAGGAATAGAGCTGACGAAACTAGGATCTTTCTTAATAGGTTTCTTATCCAAGCTCGGCGCGGGATCGAAAGGGAAGCGGAATGCCTCAGAGCCAAATACTTTATTAGCTACTTCTGCAGCTGGATTCGAAGCTGTGGATGTCGGGTTTTCGCGCCGGTGACACATACGTCGGCTAGGATCGTGACTTTCCTTTGATCGGATGCGGGATCGGAACATCCCTTTTATCCTCTTTCTCTTCATCGGTAGAGGAATCGGTCTCAGAAAGGCATTTACGTCATCGATCAATGGTACGCATCAAACTAGCTCAAAAAAAGGTCCATAATTGGCTGTTCAGATAGGTTGGACCTATTAAGCATTTGATTTGTTGTCGGAAGTTGTCCCGTCCAGAACAAAGGCATTGGGCGCGTCTTGACTTCAATTCTTGGACAAATAGGTATGACTTTGGAGCTCTCTTTTATCTTTTTTAGGGGAGATTTTATGACTTCACTTCGCTTCGCTTCGTTCGTTGGGTCGATTACATTGAGGCTAGCTTTTAAGCTTTGGTTCAGCTACTCTTCTTTCTTTTCTATGATGCTCTTACTCCGATCTCGAAACTCATCAACAAGGTAAGGTTTCACATCAAGATCGAAAGAAAGCTCCTTGATCGGCCTCTTTAACAGCCGAAACTACTGCGGCAAGGACAAAGCTCCATCATCTTTAGACAAACGAACTGACGGCACAGCTTCAACAACCGATGAAAGCAAATCCCTCTCCTGATCAGTGAGATTATCCTTACTTAGGCAATGAAGGAGGAACAGAATCAGCCGCATTAAAGGAGTCATGGAGGACTTTCAGCTTCTCGATCACCGTTGATTCATTAGGTGGAGGTCAATTATATCGAGCCTGCACTCCCAAATCCTCATGAGTTTGAACATGCGATTCCTTTTCTTTTGACTTTCATACTTGATTAACAGTACCACCTTTTTTATGACTTCACTTCGCTTCGCTTCGTTCTTTGAGTCTCACAAGACCTCCTCTCCCTTTGGT